TATCTATCTATCTATCTATCTATCTATCTATCTATCTATCTATCTATTTGTCTATCTATCTATCCATCTATCTATCTATCCATCTATCTATCTATCTATCTATCTATCTATCTATCTATCTACCTATCTATCTATCTATCTATCTAGCTATCTATCCATCTATCTGTCTATCTATCTATCTTTCTAGTTATCTGTCTATACATATGTCTATCTATCTATCCTTTATCTGTCTGTATATGTCTATCTGCCTATCTATCCACTTATCTATCTACCTATCTATCTATCTATCTCTTTGTTAACCTAGTTGCCTGACATCCATTACCCTAATTATTTACCCAAAGATGCACTCTCGGGAGCACCTCTAAAAATTGAATCAGTCCAAGTCATATAATACAGATATATGTACATATATGAATTTCTACATAGACAGATTAATGAATATACCTTCATAGTACAAGTTTTGATAAGAAAATGAACCAGGATTCTTATCTGGCTGCTAAGCATGATTCCTCAACTCTACGTATTCCAATAAAGTATTCATATTAATATATAAAATATGTTTATTAACTCTATACAATAATGGAAATATGAATGAAAGTGCGCTACATTACCTAAAACGGATGCGGATGCGGATGCAGAAGCGGATGCCTGACGGATGCGGTTGCCAATGATATTGAATTGGCTTCAGCTACAGCCTAGACTTTGGCATTTTACGCGCTATTACCACCTTTTCGACGCAATAAAATATAATTTGAATAAAATTATATACGGCTGATACACCTCAATGCCGTCTCACATTCTCTCCCTCGCTCTCTCTCTCTCTTTCCTACTCGCTCGCACTGCCTGTGCATCGCTGTAGTCTTGCACAGTGGGTGCTGTAAATCAACGTCTCGATGACATTAAAATAAAATTTTAATGCTATGCAAAAGCAAAAGCAACGGTAAAGGCAAAGGCGAAGGCAAAAGCCGCCGCGTCTCCATTTAGGCCAGACTCTTAGCCAGAACCAGAACCAAAGCCATTTTCCATTTTCCATTTTCCATGCAATTTTCTGTCGCTTTTTGATCGAAAACTTTTGCCGCGGCTTCTGCTGCTGCTGCTGCTGCTGCTGCTGCTGCTGCTGCTGCGGCTGCTGCTGCTGCTTGGGGCGTGGCTGGCGGGGGTGGAGTTAGGCGGGCGCTATCATTTTCACCTTGGTTACACTGCACAATTTATTTGAATTTATCAGCATGCACACGCCCAATGGCCCAACGGCCCCGCCCCCCGACCGCCGCCCGTCGCCCGCCGCTCGTCTGGCCGAATGGCTCATTTTCATGGCTCATGGCAAATAATTGTAAATATTTGATACACAATAAGGCAATAAAAATAAAATTGAAATTTTCGCTTTGTGCACGGGCGGCTGAGACTGGCCTTGTTGTTGTTGTTGTTGCTGTAGTTGTTGTTGTTGTTGCCTTTTATTATTATCATCGTTGTCGTTTTGGTCCTGCGGAGTCGTCGTAAAGGAAATTGATACATAAGTCATTTTTATTGGCATATTCTTTTGTGTAATTACGGCACAGGTAATTTAAATTTCCTGCCCTTTTCCTTTTCCTTTTACTTTTTTTTTTTTTTTCTTTGTATCTTTATCTTTATATTTTTATTTCCGCTTTCCTCTGCACATATTCAATTTATGAGTGTTTGTAATTTCTGAAAAATATTGCTTAATGTTCGCCAGCTTGTTACGTATACAATTTATATACATACATTTGTGTTTATGTATTAAATTTCGAATAATTATTGTAAGGTTGAAATGTTGATATAATAATAATACAGTTTAATGTACAGTCCTTCTATACGGCTTGCATAGCAAAGTTTGAGTTCTATCTATCTCTTTCTCTCTCTCTTAGAATATTCGCAGTTCTCTGTGACTGCTTATATAGATATATATCTCTCACTCTCACATTTATTCTCTCAAATTACCTCACACTCCACTCTTTTTGATTGTCTTTTTATTCTTTTTCGCTCTCTCACTGTATCTTTTTCTTCCTGTTAGCCTCTGATTCTCTATATATGTATATATGTATGTATTTCTCTATATATTAATAAATCTTCTGTATCTCTGTCTCTCTCTTTCAATCACTTTTCTATATCTCATTCTCTTCCTTCATTTTCCTCTTTCTATATTTCTCATTTACACAATCCCAATCTCTATCTCTCATTTTCGCTATCTCTCTGTTGCTCTGCCTCCAGTTTTCCCCTTCCACATATCTCTCGCTCTCTCACACCCCCAATTACTCTCTGTTTATTTTCTTATTCCATAGCAGCTGTAGTCTTATAATCGCCTTTCTATGCAATTCACAATACTGCATTCATTTTACTGCATTCACATACATTTTCATTCATCACGCTCCACTTGAAGAGCGATAGCAATCCCGTACTCTAGGTGGGCAGCTCCATCAATTGGCAACACATTCAGACACTTTCAATTTGGCATCTGTCTGTCGGTCTGTCCGTCTGTCTGTTAGCTGCTTATTGTTATTACGTCTGCTGTCAGACCTAAGTGAAGGTGGCGAGAGCGAAAGCCACAGTAAAATTAAATTAACAACTGTAAAAGTAAATATTCGAGAGTAAAGGATGCATTACGAATGGTCCAAATGGTTTTGTAGCTACACTAAAAATAGAAATGCGATTTCTGCGCAATGAAATCGAAAAGTTCATAAAATTTAATGAAATGAAACCTTAACAACTAGAATAGAGAGCCAGAAGGCGAGACAAAGAGTGTGTGAGAGAGAGAGAGAGAGGCAGATGGCAGTGTAGCTAATGGCAGGAGACGCGCTTCTTGGAGTAAATAAAAATGAAAATAAAGAAATATTTATCCTTTGAATAACATTTTTGTGAAGTCTAAGAGACAGAGAGAGAGAGAGAGAGAAAGAGAGAGAGAGAGAAAGCGAGAAAGAGGAAGAGAGAGATAGATAAATATAGATTAGCTATTCTAAACTGAGAGCTCAGAAATTACTTCTATAGAGATTATTTCATTTGCCTTCCACTCTTCAAATATATTTTAAGTAATATTTATGTGCCTTAGTTTTTTTTTTTGTTTTGTTTTTTTTTTTTACTTGGTTGGTTTTTCCTTTGGTCACCAATTAATTTTTATTTATGTGCTTTGCGTTTGTTAGCTGTGTATTTTCTTCTTCTTCCGCTTTTTTTTGTATTTTTAATTTTGTGTGTCCCCTTATCAAACAAACAGTTGGCAAAATGATAAATGCCGTTGCTTTTGTATACGTCCAGGAAACACCCCTTGCCCCAACGCCTCCCGAACCCCACCACCCTACGACACCCTCTGGCCAAAGCACACCCATTTGGTAATTTAATATTTTTTGCAACCAAAAATAAAAATAAAATAAAAAAAAAGAGAGAGAAAAAAGGAATGTAACAGAAAAAAAAAGTATATGAGAAAAATGATATTTCAGAGAAGCGAGCGCTGCTAAAAAATGACAATTTTTAATTATCAAATGCGTTTAATGATAAAAATTGTTTATTATGGGCTAAGGGGGTTGGGCCAGCGCTCAGGGTTTGGGACTGGCTCAGAGCTTTCTGCTTGGCCGGCACTGCGTCTTGGCTTTTAATTTATGATTTATTTGTGTGGGTGGCTCGCCTATAATAATTAATATTGCACACAAGCAAAGGACACCTACAGCCAGCACACACAATCCCCAAGGAAGCCAGCTGCTAGAGAGGGGTTTTATTTTTCTGGGGGCTGCTCTTGAAAAGGCCAGCGGGGGGAGGGGAGGGCGTACAAACGCAATATTTTCATAAATCTTTTTGCCGCGACGTCGGAGCAGTAAGTGCAATGTCATTGAGGCAGAAGTGGCAGCAAGTAGCGCGGGGAATAAGCATAACACAGCCACACACACACACACACACACACACACACACATACACTAGCATACACACATATGCTGTTATCCCTGCCATAAGACAAAGCCCAAGTGCACCCAGGCCAACATCTTTTACGTCTTTGGCGTCGTCTTGCGCCCGACGCAAACGGAAAAAAATTAAAAGTATTTCTCGAATTATTGTTAATGATGATTAAAAATATGTGTACCTACATAATACACAGCACACCTCAGCACACACACACACACACACACGACTTCCACTGCGGCTGGGCGTAATCACAAACGAATTTCCGCGGCCTGGCAACGTTTCCCCAAACGTTCTTCTACTTCAGCTGCGACTCAAACCGAGTGTTAACCCGGCCTCTGTGAGATGACTTAATAAAAAAAAATATATATATATATACATATGTATGTACAAACATGCAAATATATGTGCATAAGTAAATGGGATCCAAGACATATCTCAATGTTGTATACCCTGAAAATATATGTACATATATTAGACATAAGTAGGTATATATGATGTATACAAGACTATCCATATCCAATGAAGCAAATATATCTTTTGGCAGAGATGCCATACAGGCCCAAGGCGACCATTTGAGAGATATCATATTCAATAAACGAAGTAAAAAAATCCACTGGAACCAAATAAATTATAATTATCATCAACATACAAAAAAAAAAAATGTTTTTTCTTTAATTTAAGAAGAAAATACATGGGTCCTTCGAATATGGGCAAACCTATATACACAACTCGAATTTTATAATCAACTAAAAATATATTTAAATTTCACTTCAAACTTATTTTATTTTAATAAAAACTTTTTTCAAATCAAGTCAACCAAATATCACTCAATAAAGTTAAAAAAAAAAATATAATGTATAAATAAAATGCAAATGAATTGTAAAATCAAATGTACATATGTTATTTTAAAGGAGTTTCTTTTTTCATAGCTATTTTGATAATAGCTACGATGCTCAGATAAATTGAGCAGTCTTGGGTCGCAACATCATTAATACTTTCTTGAAGGATGTGCTCTGTGAGCCGAGCCAAAAAATACTCCGAGGATCCTTGGAGCTGTGATTGAAGTATTGACCATTGAGATTACTGCAACGGATACGAAATATATATATATAGATGTATGTACATAGATATTTGTCTAGCTCTATATGATCTAGCACTAACCTGAGACCGCATCGGTCGTACCACCAGGCGCCGTGCCTCAGTATGCCGCAGTTGTCGTCAGATCTGTCATTGTCCACATCGAAGGTGGAGAACTTCCGATATTTGGCATAGTGCAGACCGTCGCCAGCGTTGCCTGAGTAGGTGCCCAGCAGCTTCAGGTTATAGGACTCGCTCTCGCTGCCAATGCTGAAGTCGGAATATCTGGCATAGTAGACGCTCCCGTCGAAGCTCTCCAAGTGGACATAGAGTTCGCTGGACTGGGCCAGCGTGAGTCGGTAGAGCTTCTCCATGCCGATGAAGAACTCGCCGTGCAGATCCCCAAAACCGTTGCGATATTCAGACCAGTTTCGATAGAAATTCTCACTGCCATCGAAGCGACGCTGTATCACGGTCCAGCCGGGCCCGGCCAGCTGCGAGTCGCAGAGCACATCGAAGGGCTTGATGCCAGGCGCACGTATCTGGTGTATTGCAGACGAGTTGCCAAACCAATAACAATTTGTCGATTGCAGCCTATCGATTTGGATCTTATACTCCGATAGCTGCAACTGCGTTCGATTCAATTCCGACCTCAAGCTGTTCACCTCCGCCATCTTTTGCTCGTTCAGCAGCTCGCTCGCATTCAACTGCATGCTGAAGGCGTCTCGTTGCTCCAGTTTTTTTGCCAAATCCGCTTGCAGCTTCTCGATTTGCTCCTCTCGATCCTTCAGTTTATCTTGCAGCTCCACGGCATTGACCTTGTTCCACTCGATTTCCGACTGCAGCTTCTCGATGTACTCCTCTTTGTTTCTCAGCTGCGACTTCAGGCTGTCGAGCTGATCTTTGTGCTGCCTTGCCTCGGACAGCAGCTGCTGAATTTGTTCCGCGCTTTGAGTCATGTTTCGAGCTGCTTCCGCGCCTGTTAACTGACTCGCGTCAGCCAATCCCTGTAGCTGCTCTATTCGCGCATCCTTTTGCTTAGACTGAGCGCTGCAGTTGCCCAGAAGCTCTGCTTGCGCCTTGAGCTCCCACTGCAGCTGGTCAATCTCAGAGGCTTTGTCCTTGACATGCTGCCTGTAGGCCGCAATGAGTTCGTCCTTGAGGTTGCTGTTGTTTTTGTGGGAGTTGCACAGCTCCTGCTGCTGCACGATCTGACGCTCCTTCTCTCTCGCCGCAGTCTCGGCCACGGCCAGCTTCATTTGCACCTGATCGTATTTGCCCTGCAGCTCTGCCAATTGGTCGTCTCTGCCTTGAACAACGGCATCACATTGATCAATTTTCTCCTTTTTTATAGCAATATCCTGCAGCAGCGGCTGCATTATCCCAAAACATTTCACACTGAACTCCGACTTCAGACTGCCCGATTGCAGCTCCTTAAAAGAGAAACACTTGATATTACTAAGCCAATGGAACTATTTAGGGACAGCGTACCACGCCGAAACTGGGATCGATCGTCAGCATTAAGAAAGACCAGAAAATAAATTGCCTAAAAATCATTTTGTATTTAAAATTCGACCGACGCGCAAATGACTTGAAATTCAACTAAATTTCGCAATCAGCTTCGGTGGCTTGCGTAGGTCTGGAATTCGCTCTTATAAATATACCCTGTACTAGGCGCAAGTGTGTGTGCGTGATGGACCAGAGAGACCAGAGAGAGAGAGCATTGAAGGTTTGCCAAACACTTTTTAGACTAAGCATTGCATATTGTATAGTCATAATAGATACAGGGTATCTGCAGTTCGGGCTCTACAAAATGCTCAGACGCAAGTGTTTGTTATTTTTGAGAGCTTACTCATTTGAAGAAATATGTATATAATATATACACATATATACTATATTTAAATGTTCAGATACAAATACAAATATGAGCACAAACTGATAAGAAAGGGAGAGAGTGTGTTAGAGCGAAAAAGAGAGGGCGAAAGAGTTTCTGGTCATTTCTATGATTGTATATGTAATATAAATGTGATTGTATTTTAAAACAATTATTACATGCAAAAGTCTATTTGATATTAGAAAAAAAAAATTAGTTATATGAACTAGTTTTTTTTTATTGAATTATGATAGTGTTAAAAATCAAAAGATTCCATATGCGAGCTTTATTCCGCTGATGGAATGATTTACATATATGTATATGAAATATGTGCGTTGTTCATTTATTAATGTAAATTACAATATACATATTTATATATTTTTTTTATTGCCAATGAAATGTTGCTCTTATCATGCAAGCTGTTGCTGTAGCCCTACCAAGGCACTGACTTCAAGTTCAAGTTGATAGATTAATAACATTCAGCTCAATGTCAAAGCGCATGAAAAGTAAGCAGCAAATAGATATGGAGTATACATAGATGATAGCTAATATGAAATGGACAATAAATAAATGTAAATAATAAACAATACATAATAATAATATACATCATAATAGGCCATGCTTCACATATGTATGTACATCTATTTTCATACATACATACATGTATAGCCAAGTCAGCCTGAGCTCGATTGTACATTACAGATACGCCCCCTCCCATCCACCTGCTGGCTGGCAGTAGCAGGAGACTGTGGAGGCCTCGCATCGCTGCTGCGTAAGGGGGCAACGCTAGCGTGCGGCAACACTCGATAACATAATTATCTGTCATAATCAGTAGGCGTTGAAATGTGCAATTTCAAGTGCAATTTAATGTGCACCAACAGCGAACGGCAACAACAACAACAACAACCACAACAGCAGCAGCAACAGCAGATAACACAAAAGTGCGTGGTGGTTGGTGGCTGAGGGCGTGCCAAGTGCTGGCAGGGCTTGGCGGGGCATGCCAGGCTGCCGGCTTGGGGCACTGTCGTCTAAAGCATTCAGTTTGAGTTTTGAAAATTTGCATCAGATTATTGCAATAAACATAATTATGCGAGCTGCATATGATTTTTCAATTAAACACATGCAACACAACTCCCCAATTGCTGGCAACGCCGGCAACGGTTGCTGGTGCCACGGCAGCAGCTGCTGTAGCTGTTGCTGTTGCTGCCATGCGGGTGGTTGACGCTGACGAGCCAAATAAAAAGCCATCCACATGCATAGGCAATGCAAATGTGCAATAATCTGTGTGTGTGATATGATTGTGGGTAAGAGGAAGCCAGCTGATGACATGACCAACCAATTGCTGCTCGTTGCGGGTGTTTGTAATGCATATTTGTTAATTAAGTGTCGCATGTGGCTGTCGCTTTGTCTATGTGTGTGTGTGTGTGTGTGTGCCTCTCTCTCTCACACTGTGTGTGTGCAATTGTAACGGTGCTTAAGTGGAATCAATGGATTTTAATGCACAGATAATCATTTTTAGCAAAAGCACAGCCCTAGTCCCGTTCCATGCATGCAGCCCTTTTTTCCATGTGACTGTGTGAGCGTGTGAGGGGGGAGGGGGGAATGGGGGAGCGGATTCTGTCATTATGCGCGCATTTTGGAGAGCCTTGGCATATGCTGGGCGCCGTTGCTGTTGCTGCTCCTGCTCCTTCTCCTGCTTCTACTCCTGCCCCTTCTCCTCCTGCTGCTGCTGCTGCTGCTTGTCAATGACAAATGGCACAGCGTGAAATAACAGGCCAACAGGACAGCGGCAGCAATAGCAATTGCAAATTTCAATTAGACGAGGTGTTGATGCAGAAACTGAATACTCTACTGTATTTGCAAATTCAAGCATATGTGCGTACTTGACTGAGCTGCTGTAACCACAGATCCTTTGGCTAGCCCCAGCCCCACCCGTTCCATCCACAGCTCTCTGCAATGCAGCTGCATTGAGCAGCGGTCTACAGCGGAGAAGAGTCTTCAATAATTACACATTTGAGTTCTAGGTCCTTGAAAGCGAAGCATTTAATATTTGACACACGAATAGAAAGAAATGAAACAAAGCTTAAAGCTACAACAGAAAGTAGGCATAGGTGTAAAACGCTTGCAGTGCTCTATGGATCCACCCAAAACAAAGAATATAGAACATGAGAAAACAGCAAAAAAGAAAAGAGGGGTGAGGGGTATTAAGATGTCATCGCCATTAGGTTAGAGTGACGGATGCCACCAGACCCGAGAGGCTGGCCTCATTGTCCAGCAAGGTGAGCTCCAATAGATAGTCCCCTTTGGGTGCATCGTCCGGCAGGAATGTTGTCTCCAGCTCGTAGTTGTCGATTGTGTACTTGCCCTTGGGGAACGGACAGTCGCCCTGCTCGGGCAAATCGGACTTCTTCTGCAGATTGGGATACGTGTCGACATCCTCATTGACGAACTCACAGAACGGCTTGTTCACATTCATGACCATGGGACCCTTCTGCTTGGCGCCCTCATCGTAGGAGAACACTTGCAGCGATAGCTGTAGTATAAGGGTATCGAGTCTATGTAGCATTTCTGTGTAGCTCCGTGAGACATTTTTGGCTTACCTTCTGCTCATCGCCTATGTTCCTCTTGAACTCGAACTCGCCGTCCAAGGTGTACTGGTTGCGGCCCACCTTCTTCATGCGCAGCGTGCCCCAGTCGACCCAGGTGTCGTCGTTCTCGATCTTTGTGTTCTTGTCGAAGGAGTTCAGCTCCAGGCTGTAGCTCTTCTCCTCCGCTGCGGCATACACCAAAAGCATCAGCCCAACGACCACCAGACCCGACACACTAGTCATGCTTATCAAATCAACTCGGCTCAATTGACAGCCGCTGCACAGTGAGCCCTCGCTATATATGGCTCCACCCCCTGTCTATCTCACATGCAATATCGCTGTTTCGCGCATCTGTCAACAGTTGCAGCTTGTTATTAGATATATGTATAAATGTATATTTATATATGTATATATATATATCCATTATCAAATTGTGTTCATATTGTGTGTACATTTGAACATTTGCAGATATGCATCTAGTCCGTTCGTATAATTTAATTTATAGAACATATGAAAATCAGCAAACATTTCTGAAGGTTGACTTGAATATAAGCTGACCTGATTTTATATCGTATTTGTAATGTACTGACTGTTTTTATTATTATAAAATATTTTTTATTGTTTATTTCAATTTTACTAAGCTTAAATTAATAAAATAAACCTGATTTAACGCTTTAAATATATTTAATATTTTTATTTCTTCTATAAATGTACATTTTTTATTTATTTTTTTATTTATTTATATTTTATTAGGTTTAATAATATTAATATTTTATATTTTTTTAATTATTAAATTGTATTAGTTATTTTTTTTAAATTAAATTAAATTTATTTTATTTTATTAATTTATATATTATATTTTATTTATATATTTATTTATTT